ACGTCCTGCAACGCTGCGTTATTTCCAACGAGGGACTTAAACATGTCCCGGAATGATCGCCATCGATCGAAGTCCCCGTTGAACGTGGGGATCGGGATCCGCGGGAGCGGCAGTTCGGGAACGGTCGCCTGCGGGGGGCGCGCTGTCTCCTCAGCCGCACCGTCCGCCATGGAACCCTGGAATGCCTCCATCAGGGTACGAAGCTCCATTTTGCGGAGCATATATATTTCAGAGGTGTCCTCGTAGTTGCCTCGCTTAATGTAGTCGGAGGAGCGTATCACCTCGTCCCGAGACGTCCGGATGATAGCATGGTCTCGCTCGTACTGAGACCAGTATGAATCCAGAATATGGAGTCGGTTCTCCAAGCCAATTAACGATTTGTCCTCGCCGTTCTTCTTAGCGTTGACGAGTATACGCGATATGTAGCCCTGTCGATCGGTCTGAAGGACGATCAGCCCCAGTAACTGATCGCGATCCATCTTGATCGCCGAGTCGAGAGAATCACTTGTACTGGCGATTCGCGGTGACGAGAAGATCATCTTCCGCATCCGGCTCGAAGGACCAAATGTTTCGAACGGCCCGAGGGTGGAGAGCGGCCGGTTCGTTATGCGGGATGCGGATTGATGTCCGCTCGCCGTGTGGAGACCGCGGTCTTCGTCGCTAACAGTCCGTTATCCAGCGGCCCCGTAAGATGACGTTGGGTGCAAGTGATTCGCGAAGTTATTCGGCGACGGGAGTCTTTGGCTCCGTGTTTTGGTGTGTCGCCGGCTCGGATAAAGCGAGCCGGGTCTATCGAAGCGGCGACCCTGCGGTGATGCACCGCTTCCCAGCGCCTTCGCGCTAGGAGAAGTCCCCCTTGTCGGAGGAGTAATGAGAAGCGTAACGTCGCTCGGGCGACGTAGATTCAGGCGCGAGAGTAACTCGCAGACGCGGCGAGTATGGCTGCAGTACCGGTGAAGAAGCGAACGTGGTTCGCGTGTATATGCTGCGTCTTTGGCAGCGGCCAAGTCCTGCGCGGACGTGAAGGCGAGCTAGGCTCGCGTGTATATGCTGCGTCTCTGGCAGCGGCTAAGTCTTGCGCGGACGTGAAGGCGAGCTAGGCTCGCGTGTATATGCTGCGTCTCTGGCAGCGGCTAAGTCCTAGGCGGACGTAAATACGAGCGTGGCTCGCGTGGATATGCTGCGGCTCTGGCAGCGACTAAGTCCTGTGCGGACGTGAAGGCGAGCTAGGCTCGCGTGTATATGCTGCGTCCCTGGCAGCAGAGTTCCTGCGTACAACGACGACTCGCGCGGAGTCGGGAGCTCGATCGCAATGAGCTCTGGCGGCGTTAATACCCGGTA